TTCTTTCTTCTTCAGAGAAGCTTCTCTTTAAGTCTTTCGCCCACTTATTTATTGGGCAGTTGTTTCTTTGGGGACTTGTTGTTGGGGGGTTTAATTTTTTGAGTTCCAAGTATATTTTAGATATGAGACCCTTGTCCGTTGTATGGCTAGTAAAGATCTTCTCCCAATCTGTGGCAAATAGCTAATTTTCTAACAATTGGATCTGAAATTTGCAATAATCTTCTTTATATTGATATGAAAATATTTTCCCAAATCTTGTTTTTATTGGTTCTTCTTTTCTATTTTATTTATTTATTTTTATGTTGTTATTACAATGGTGAAGCACCCAAGGATTACAGTTATATAAGACAGGTAAAGAGCACATTTCTTTTTGGACAATATCTCCTCTTCCCTTGCTCACTCCCAGTTTTTCTCACCTGTCCCCACCTACAAGTTGTATAGTTTAATATCAACAGAGTGCCTAGTGAGTACCACTGCTGCATTTGTTCACCCTTTGTCCCTACATTTCTGTTCCCCTCCCCTTACTCTCCCAAAGACAAACAAATGAACAGAGCAGATAAAAAGGAAAGAAAACAAAAACAGTAATAAGGAAAAATCTCTTGTTTTCAATTCCAATTCAGAAGGTTCTATTTCATATGATCAGATGCAAATAGGCATTGTGTCTTTGTGTTTTCTCTTAAGAGTATCCTCCTTTGTGAGTGAATGTCTACAGCCTTGTATAACTTACCATGTTCCCGTATATATTAGATCTAATTCCACATATGAGAGAAAACATCCACCATCTGTTTCTCTGAGCTTGCTTACCTCACATATGACTTGTTATAGGTTCATCCATTTCCCTGCAAATGACATATTTTCTTTTACTGGTTGTGTAAAATTTCATTGTAAATAGGCACTACATTTTTTTAGTTTTCTTTCTTCTTTTTTTGTTGGTTGGGGGCTTGAACTCAGGGCCTGGGCTCTGTCTCTGAGCATCTTTGTGCTCAAGGCTAGTGCTCTACCACTTGTGCCACAGTGCCACTTCTGGTTTTTGAGTGGTTAATTGGAGGTAAGTGTCTCATGGGGACTTTTCTGCCCAACCTGGCTTTGAACCATGACCCTCAGATCTCAGATTCCTTAGTAGCTAGGATTATAGGCATGAACCACTGGTACCCAGCTAGTTATCTTTCTTAATAAGTTAAATATGTTTCTATTTACTTGCTTCAATAAAGTTAAGAAATGATTAGGCTATGTATTTGCTTCCTGTTGTACTGACACCTTGTACACTTCATTTTTGTGTCAGTTGTGAGGCTGAACTCAGACTGAGGACACTGTCCCTGAACTTTTCTGCTAAAGTCTATTGCTCTACCGCTTGAGCTCTGCTTCTTACTTTGTTATTGTTGTTGTTTATTTGAAGGTAAGAGGGAAAGAAAAAATGTAACCTAGGCAGAAAGTGACCCAAAAGAAAGTAACCCAAAAGACCACATGGACAGAAGTCAAGTGGAAGAAAAGATTTATTGCCAACAGAGCTGATAAAGACTTTTTCAATGAAAGGATCCTTCATATCCATTCCAGGGGCCCACGCAGAAGCAGGCAGGCACAGGAGAAAGATTATTATAAGGTTTATTAGAGGAGCTATATTTCCCCTGGAAAGGGAGAACATGGCACCCTCCATTCTCCAGCATGGTCTAGGGGCAGCAAGTGAGGTAGATGGGAGCTCAGGTGGGTCTGGGAGGAGAGAGGGAGAGGCCCGCTGCATGGTGGGAACTTCAGGGCTGGGAGGAGCTCAGGTCTGGGTGGAGCTGAGGGCCTAAGGTGGGAATAATGCTTACAAAGAGTCTCATGGACTTTCATCCCAGAGCTGGCTTTGGACCACAATTCTCACATCTCAGCCTCCTGAGTAGCTAAGATTACAGGCATGAACCACAGTATCTGACAAACTTGTATATTCTGGTATGAACACTTCTCAAAAATTGTAACAACTCAAGAGCTGAGGCCAAGACCATCTACCCAGAAAGGAGTAGAAATTGGTTCCAATTAGAACTGTAGAATGAGACTGGTTTAAAATGTGAAGTAGCTCTAAGCTTAGAGACATCATTAAAGCTACCAAATAACAAGTGCAAAGCATGCTGAGCCCTTCACTAGGGCCTGACATTCCAGTGGCTGATAAGCCTCACCCACAGGCTGTAACTCTTCTTTCCTGGTCCATTAGATTTCCTTTCCTCTAAGCAAAAGATCCTCAGAAACAATAATGAAAAATATGACTCATTGAAGTTGACCTGTATATCAATTCCTAAAGAGATAACAGCCCCACCTCTGAGATGAATATACATGTTGTACTGATTTAATGACTTCCTGTACTTCTAGTAAACCTCACAGGCTCAGATACAACAACAAGCAGGCTCAGATATTCAACAAACAAGAAAAGCCAGACAAGAAACAAATGAATGTTATGTTCTGCTCAACAACAAGCCAATGTAATTTTGTTTTCTCTGGTTTTTTTTTTTTGTCGTTTTGTGTGTGTGTGTGCTGGTAGGTACTAAGACTTTACTCAAGACCTCATGTCCTTACTTGGCTTTTCTCACTCAAGGTTGGAACTCTACTACTTGAGTCACACCTCCATTCATGGCTGTTTGCTGTTTAATTGGAGATGAGAGCCTCTCTGCTTTGTCTGGCCAGGCTGACTCTGAAATGTACTCCTTAGAGCTCAGCCTCCAAGTAACTAGGGTTATAGGTGTACATGACTGTTCTTGGCTCTAAAGGTGTTTGATGTTAGAAATTCAAATAATTGAAAAAAAAGAACTCAAAAAATTAAATCCCCCAACAACAAATTCTCAAAGAAACAACTGCCCAATAAATAAGTGGGCTAAAGTCTTAAAGAGAAACTCCTCTGAAGAGGAAAGAAGGATGGCCAA